GKRTTGAATACGRGATTGAGTACGGGATTGAATCTRGGATTGAGTCYGGGATCGAATCTGGAAAACGATTATTCTATTTTCKATATYTGGAGYCCTACAATCTACTGTAAAACAAATTGGYTGCTTCARGAATACGGGATTGAGTACGGGATTGAATCTGGGATTGAGTCCGGGATCGAATCTGGAAAACGATTATTCTATTTTCGATATCTGGAGCCCTAAAACAAATTGGCTGCTTCAGATAGCGCCGAAAATGGAAACCTAACACTAAGTAACGAAAAATTTTGAAGATTCGAGCCAATAACCTCGCTTCCTCCGAAATCCAAGACAACGATGATGTTGGTTGGTGATGGTGGATGCAAAACGTTGGAACAGATGAAATAGAATGTTCACTGTGGATGGATGAGACAAAGAGTCCGAGAATAGGGAGGGAATGGAGGGAGACAAATGATTCGAGTATATAGGTTTAGGATTTTACTTTTGGGAATGTAGGGAGAGGAAAGGTCCGAGAATGAGAATGGAAAGATGTGGAATTTGAAACATGAGGGTAATAGAGTAATTTCACTTCTACAAATTTTGAAAGGGGTCATAAATAAGGATGGTTGGGTTCACAAATTAAGTTTTTTTAAAAGGGGTCATAGCTCCAATTTCAATTATGGGTGGGGTCATATATTCAAATTTCCCCCCAAAATAGTAGATTTATTTGGATATCCAAAGTAAGAATTCTTTTTTTTTTTTTCTTAAGATCAAAGTTATAATTCATCGAAGATTCAGATCAAATCAACCTATATATATATTTGTCTTTCTCTTCATAGATTTACCAATCTTATAAAATCTCATTGGATATGATTATTCGCATGTCCCCTTCCTTGAACATCTAAATGAACATTCAAATGCAATGAAATTTTATCCAAGCGAACATATGTCAACGGTAATTGGTATATATTTTCAACTCAGAGGTCGTAAGTTCGAACTCTAAAAAAAAAAATACAAATAAAATTTTTAACGATCAAAATAAATCCATAAATCTATAAAATCGAATTATTTCTTTGCCATTAACTAGGCAGTCTTGGCCAAATAATTTGGGGTGCTTTAGTTTTTAATTTCGCAAAAATGACAAAATTGGAAGGTCCAACTCACAGTATACCTTCATGGAACATAGAACCCAAACAATGATATACCCGATATATACCAATTTAATATACTATTGATATATACCTGATTATGAGTGTTGATATACTTTATACGAGTGTTGATATACCAATAATGTATTTGATATATCACTCTTTAATGTGTTCCATTTCTTTCTGATTGAACTGTATTGTATTATTTACATGTTTTTAGATGAAATGTCTATCTTTTATAACCTAAATGTTTGTCTTCTATATCTAACATGTATGTTGATATACCATTCATATACATGATTTTTTATATGAAGGAAGGAATCAATAACCCTAATATATTTGATGATCAGTGTTGATATACAACGATATACCTAGTATAAATGCTATCTAATTTGCTATTTCATTGATATATCTAAAAATCCAGCACCATAGAATCGGAAGAACTAAAAAACGTGTTATTAAACCATTTTTAGAGAGCCTATTTGAGAACTTTGTAGAGCTATTTTTAGTTGAGTAGCTCTAGACTCATTAAAACTGCAGAAATATTCTTCAATTACTTTCCAAATATCTCATGAATTAGTCAGTTCTAGAATCTAACCTGCTATGGAAGGTTGCTTGACCAAAATAGCCATCTGAAAAGTTAGTTACTTGATCTGCCATTATCCCATTCTTCATAACCTGAATGGCACCTATAATTGAAAAAATTCAGAAAGATATTACAAGTCAGTGACTGATAAGAGCAGAGAAAACAAGTTTGTTAACATAAGTAATAAGCAATCGAAACGACAATGAGCATGAGCTTTACCGAGGGAGCAACACATTGGTCGATTGTCTTATGCCTCTGAGAAACTTATTTTGCAGCTCACACAAGAGATGATCAAGCTTCAGCCTTGGCTACTACTGTTCTCAGTTATTTGAAAGTAAATACATGTGTTTAAATAGGCATTTTCTGCCACTTCGGAACTAGCTTGAAGAGGTCGCGAGGCAGAGTTACTATGGAAACTATATGGGATTTGTGGGCATTGAATTATGAATATAAGAGTAATTACATTGAATGCAATAAGAAAAAAGCTTTAATGTGCCCATACTACTACATTATCGTGTGAAGAAGAAAAAAGCCTATGGAAAATTTCCCATGATTTGTTGGTAAACTGATGAGACTGATGATGATGAAGATCCGTTCGTACTATCAACAATTGGCTGGAAAGGAACACAGATGTTATCATCGTCGTGCTCCTGTTTGGGTGTGAGGAACCTCTCAGTGTCTCTCAGCTGCTGACCAGCCAGGAAAACCTGAAATGGTGGTATTGGTCTTCCATTGGTAAAATCGAAACCAGCAGCCGAGAGGTTTTGATTCAATGGCAAGGAAATCGGGAAGTCCGGGACCACGGACGCCAATGAACCAGCAATACTCGTTGTGCAATGCTTTGAACTTAATCCAAAGGGGCTATAAGGCAAGGTGTTTTGTAATGGAGGGAACTTCATTTGACAGAGTGAAGGGGCTCCAAGTTTCATATCGCTGCTAAAAGTATCAAAACAGGCAGACCTCTGATAGTCATTGTTAAATTCAGGTTTCGGATAAAACCGGGCGGCGAGATCTTGAATTTGTGTTTCGGACTTCGGGATGTTCAAGTTTCTTGGTTGCACATGAGACGCAGAAGGCTGTGCATTGCCATTACTCGAGTTTACTTGATTGCTGTTTCTTGCTGCAGGCACTTCGTGATTGTGTCTTCCTTCGTATGTTGTAATTACACATTTAAGATTATCGGATGCTCTCTCAACATGTTTCCTTACTGAACAGCCAGCACTCGTGCATTTGTAGTAGCTCCTGTAGAAGAAACAGCAATATTATCAAATGATAGGAGACGAAATCAACATATTATGACCAGTAACAACACCATGTTGATACCTACCCATCACGAGGATCTTTGAATTCATAAATCATGTGCATATCAAAACTTTGGTACCAATGACTATTTTAATTCGAAAGAATTTCTTTTACTACGGGAGTACCTACCCCTTAGTTCATACCATAATTTTTCCTTTTAATGTTGCTTGACACCACAACCTTTTTATGGCTGACATTAAATGATAGTGGTACCCATACATGGAAAATTTCCCTTCTAACTCGAGAGGAAATTTTGAAGTACGCACTTATTTAGAATAAGAATAATTCATCCTCTTCCCTCCAATCCTCAGAAACATAACATAGAATGCAACAATAACGCATATTCACACAGGTAGCATAGACTGAAATGTTGGTACCTTGGATTTGGATTTCCTTTGACAACTTTTTGCCCGTACTTCCGCCATCGATATCCATCTTCAAGTATGTCAATTTCGCTTTCAATTTGGACAACTACTCTTGGCTCACGAGACCTTGAAGCCAAGTTTGTTTCAATTGAATTGCCCTCTTTTCGCCTGCCACAATATTCACACTGAAGATGAGCAATCTTTGCAGCTAATAATAAATTTGTCAGGATGTTTTAACAAAATCAAGCTACATGAGTTAAATGCAGTTGAGAAAGGATATCAACTGAAAATATGTAAATCATCAAATCAAGAAGGGTTAGATAGGTAACTTACCAATACGTTTCTTGAAATCTAAGCTCTGTAATTCATAATATGATAAATTTAAGTAGGTTCCACAAAAATGCGCTCTCTTAAGTGGTAGGATCCAGGGAGGTTATGAAAATCATCCACACTATAGCGTCAAAAACTGTAGATACTGACTTCATTAGTTCCATGCATTTATGGTCAATCTTTTATCATATCATCACCTCTTGCAGATTTATACATACCCAATCCACCAGGTTATTCTAGGCAATTTGTAGTCAGTCCATAATAAACAAATTAATGGTCTTCTATATAATAATATCCAGTTAAAAAAGCAGGATCATTACCTTCGTTTCAATTCAGGTTCGACATCATCAGCTTCAACGCAAACTGAAATACTACCCTGAGTTGTGTGATCATCATCGTCATCACCACCACCATCATCGTCGTCATGGCTAGCAACTGTAGATGAAAGCTCTGGAGTTCCGACAGATTCAAAAACCCCAACAGTTTTCCCTTGGGGATTTAACAATGGATCGGAAAGCTCAGTCAGAACCGATGCTGAGGATGTCCTTTCTAGACCATCAACACTCCACCCATATTGAGTGTTTCTCCATGTCAGCCCAGCTTCAGCTTTGGCACGGCTTCCACAACCTTCACCATTTTCTGAAGCATCATCCAATGCTAGCACTGATCCAAGCATTGCCCGACGATTGGGATCAGGTTTTGCATGATTATGATTACCCTTATAAATTATTTCTGTGATTTGACCATCAAGAGATCTTTCCACCTTTTTCTTTACTTGACAAGTAGGATGTGTACATTTATAATAGCTTCTTGGATATTCACTACCTTTGACCTGTTTCTGCCCATATTTTCTCCAGTTGTAACCATCTTCTGACGTCCTTAACATTCCCAAAGGAACGTAAGACCCTTTCTGTTCACCTTCTAAAGGATGCTGTGTCCCAATGTCTTCTCTTTTTGAAGATTCAGGTACAGATGATGGATTATCAGCTATATCAGGAACACAAATTTCCATATTGTCACAGTTACCATTAACAATCTTGCCATCGAAAAGGTCAATATCAGTGGATGAAGCGAGATCATATTTCAATACAGAAGCCTCTTTTGGAAAATCAGGTGGGAATTCAAAATCCATCAGCGTTTTCTCTGATTCAAAGGCTTGATGATCAATGTCAGCTTCCTGAGCAAAAATTGAAATATAACCAAACAAAATTAAGTCCAAGACAGTATTTTCTTAAGATGTTAAACAGACTAATAACTACAATGATCAGTTTATGTGAGAAATATGTGAGACAAATCTAGCCCATTCCGGAACACTCTAAATAAGACAACATCCAGATAAAACTCGGTCATGAAAATATATACTTTTCAAGATGTGGCCTACTTAAAACTCACCCGTCACCTCAAGTTAAGATTCCATATTTATTTTTCTGCATTCTGGAGCCACAAATCATTGTTCTTAACACCTTGCTACCCATTTGGCAGCAGAAAAATTGCCACGAGTAGAGAGTAACACTGTGTTCCAAATCAAATATGAAAGATGCTAAAGCTGATGCAACTTTCAGAGATTGCTTCAAATGCCAACACAGTCGGGGCTTTGTGGAGGGTGTGAGGGGACAGTTTGATTCTGCATATGTATTTTTCTAAGATAAGAAAACAAATTCATTGAAATAAATGAAATTACAAAAGGGATCCAAAAGAGTTACAAACAGGCTCTCCAATTGGCACGTATAGATTCTGCATATGTATTAAGTTGGACAGAAGAAAAAAACATTTCATAGTAGAAGCTGCCAAAGAAAATGTTTTTATATTTGTTCGATTTTGAAATTCTATATTAGGAATCATATAGAATTTGGAGTACGCTTCAGTATAACAGATATCTCGAGGTTTTGACAGCATTACTCTGAGTTTTGGGTTTCTTTTGGCAAATAGATCTCAACAACCATTACGAAGCCTAATAAATTCTGAAAGAAACAAGAATTTGAAATCAATTGAACTTGAGGACTTCTGGTATCAGTCCTTTTATATTTTCTTTCCTTCCCTTTTTCCTGCCCTCTCTCCAAATCATGCCTCAGCCCTGATGTTAGACCCTGGTTTAAGGTTAAGGGCAAAACTAAACGTTCATTAGGGAGAAATTGAGAACTTAATTTGACTGTCTTCCACTGTGAGATTACCATGGGTCCATAACCACCACAAACTGCATCTGATAAGGCCTCTTTCACTCCGGTCTTACCTAAGAAAGGAAACAACAAGTATGCCTTCTTTTTTTCCAACAAGATTGAATTTCACCATGCTGCCAAACCATATGTCGTTCTGGCTTTTTGCTAACCTAGGCGTGCTCTGGGAAATCAATAGTCAATTAGAATGGTCTTGACACGTGCAATAATGCTTGTATCTTGCCTTTCCTCTTTCACCAAATATTGTCGTCTTTCTTACTGTTCCATGCTCACCTTAGATTTGTAACTTTCTGATTTGTTGTTCTTAATCATCTCTACATTCAATGATTGCAGTTTGACTCATTAAGGGGGAATTTGGGACAAATAATTATTAACTCTAGAGTTCTTTTAACATGGAGTTGTTTAGGTTGTGTTTGTGGTGTAGACTGCAGAGTTGTTAAACCTAGAGTTTTGAAGTTTGCGTTTGGGGCAAGAAGTTTTTAAGTCGGAGTTATGTAAGCTGAGTTTCTGTTAACTAATTATTTTCGTTATAATTTTACTGTATTGTATTAGAGTTAGATTCCAATTATTTTTTTTTCAAAATTTAATTAATAAAGATTTGTTCCCGTTAATCATAAAATTGAGATTTTTCACCAAAATAATTTTTTTTAAAGATTTCAAAGGTATAATGCAACCCTTTTATTCGATATTTTGAAAGAAAAAAAACATCAAAAAATCAAATAAGTAACTGCTTTTGCTCAATTTGAAAAGTAAAAAGTAATAACATATTTGAGAATTCAAAGGTTATATAGAAGTAAAATTATATATATATATATATATATAGTTAAATTCAATTTTTTATTATTGTTACTATGACGGTGGCTAATTTAAAAATTAAATAAATAGTTCATTTAAATTAAATATTATTTATTTTACTAATTTTATTCCAAATAAATTTGAAAAAAATACTATTTATATTTTGTTCCTTTAAGTATGACTAATTTGAAAATTAGATATATTCTTTTATTTTAATATTTGTTAGCTTGAAATTATATATATATATATCCAAAATAAACTACTTTTCTTATTTTAAAACCACACATTAAAAGTTATTTATTTTTATAACTAGAAATATATGGATAAAATAGAACAATAATTAAAAAAAAAAAAAAAAGAGATAACTTTTGCACCCAAAAATTAAGATTAACTTTAGTATTTAATTAATTGAATGGAATCAAATGTCAAAATTTAATTAGTTAAGTTGAGCATTCTTAAATTTGTTTTATATCAAGTTATAACTATATATACACATAAAATTGAATTATAATTCATATAAATATATATTTTTCAGTAAAAGAAAATTATAAATATTCATAATAATTAAAAACAATTATCATATATATATAAAAATTAAAAAATATTCCTATTATAATTTAGAAAACTTCAATATCTATAATTGGGAGCATCGAGAGATGTGAAACCATTAATTTGTTAAAAAAAAAAAGAATCGATTAAACAAAAAAAAGTTAAATAACCAAAAATAAGAAGAGATAGGAGAGTAATGAATGGTCGTTAAAAATAGATGATTTAAGAGAGAAATGAGGGGACGAGAGAAGAGAAAAATATGTGAGAGAATGTGTGGCCCACCTGAAGAAAGAGAGGAGAGATAGATAGGAATAAAGTAGGGTATCGAATCGTGATTTGGGAAAGTTGAATAGTAAGTTTACTACTTGCTCCAAACACTCCCCTCCTAAGTGACAAACCTGCAAAGCAATCCACCCTATCTAAACCTGCTAAGTTCGAAATGACTACTAAATTGGCAATTCATATATTCTGCAAGATTTCCAAGAAGTTTTTACAAGTGCCTTCTCTAGTATTTCAATTAATAGAGTTTTTAAGACCAAGTTTTTACCTCTATTTAATAATATCATAAAGATTGTGATATGAAACTTGGTCTATTAATTGTATAGATGATATTTAAGACCATAATGGTCATATTTTTAAAGTATAGGGACCAAAATAGATATTTTGAGAGTGCATAAACTAAAATGATCAGAAGTTGAAACTATGGGGATCAAAATAATATTTAAAACCAAAAAATAACTATTATCATGAGACAATGCATGGTTTCATCCTACATCAGCAGTTGATTTGGATTTAGACATTTCCACACATGAAATTTATATGATAAGTTTGAATTTCAAGCAAAAGATGCATGAGCTAGGATGATCACCTTAGCGGACTAATAATGTTATTAAAGATTTAGAGTTAGAATATGATTCATCGATTCATCTCAATGGGTTTGTGATTCCTGACTATTACAATCATTGAAAAGGAGAAACCCAATCTCAGTACTGTTAAAGCTTGCTGTAATAAGGGGGAATGATGCATGGGTGAAATATTGTATCCTAGTTAAAATATGAGGTTCTCTAAGGAGCCAAAACTTCTTCGAGCTGCAAGAATATGATTTGCAACGCTTATACCATGTCATATTTCAACTTATATTAGACTTAGATTGTGGAAGTCGTCTTTGGCACTCTGCTTTTTTTGCCATTCAGCGGGAGATTTTGGTTGGAAAGAAATGGGAAAATTTTTAGAGATGTTAGGAGGCCTTTGGAACGGTTGGTAGAATATCCAAACAGCTGAAATCAATTGAAAGATCAAAAGATAGGACTACAATAATCTCTAGTAATTCGAGGTACTTGGACTCTCCCCTCTCTTGAGTGTACTTACTACTCAAGCCTAAACCACACTAAACAATTGCCCACTTCAATCATTTCTCACTCGTCCTATTTATAACAAATCTCCCTAACAATTTTCCTAACTAATTATTAATGTACCATTACTATGTTTCATGATGTTGTGCTCTATCAAGAGAGGTAGTGTGCTCCATAGGAGAGGAGTTGACTTAGATCGAGAGAAAATTCTCAACCAACTAAGAGCAGACACATGGATGATGGTTTGAGGGAGGCTATATGATACTTTGTTCGAGGGAAGGATTGGTGGGAGTACGACCAAATTCTCACATTAACTAGATAAAGGGGATTCATGACATATAAGTGGGAACAACCCAAGAAAAGGACGCCCATTAAATAGTAGGCCACTTTTTTATTCTTTCATGTTTTCAAATGAAAGCTAGTCATCCATGTGTAACGAAAAAACGAAGAGAATATAGAGTGCAAATAAGAGAGAAATTGGACAAAAAAAACTTCTATGTGCTGAAATGAGAACTATTTACAGGTTTTTGTAGGAAATAAATAACTGATCACTAACCCACTAATTAAACCACTACACTTCAAATTCTCTCTAAGCAACACCACTAATCCACTAAGCCACTAAGCTTACAATCTCTCCCCAACTTACCACCACTCTTCCACTACTTAATGAACTACCAACTATAAAATTAACCACCAAACATAACTCCCAAAGTGTGGAAACAATAACAATAAAACTAACACATGCACTAATTCTTAACACTCCACCTTAGTGCAATCATACGGTCAACAACACCAAACGCACTTCTAATTACTTCAAACTTGCTCGATAGTTATAGTCATTGCTTTTCTCCCTCAACAGAAACGATCCACAATAGCATTGAGTTGCTTCTCCCTTTTTAGTTTCTGGACATGGTCGAGGAGTAAAACATCATTTTCTTCTTCAAAGGACGAGAAGTCATTTGCATGTTGACATATAACATGGTCTAAACACATGATGTCCTAATCGGAAAAAAATTGAAAACATCGGGTCTTTTCAAATGATTTTCTAATGGGTTAGTATTCCAATGTATACGACCCATTATCTCCTAAAACTTGAGTGACATTTATCAATTAACACCAACCAACTTTGCTAGGTCAAAATCGCCAACTATGGCGTCAAAATCTTCATCAAGCAATGCATAGCAACCATAACATCTCGATGAGTAATCTTCGGATTGCAATGTTCACAAAATACTCTAAACTTTGAGTTGTGTGCAATGGCACACACCTTCGAGTAGGCCAATTCGATCCCTTGCTCTCACATTCGA